TTTTGTGATAAGAAAATCTAGCTAGTTTTTTCCAGTTAACAGACATTTCAATTATGAAAAATTCATCTTTTGCTAATAATATGAAATCTGACCATTAGTAAGTTCTAAATTCTTACCTATATTTTAGTGTTTCTGGATTTTCTATTCTGTTCCATTCACTTACATGTCTTTTCAGATGTTAGTAAACAATTAATTTGTGGAAATTAATAGCACATTTTGATATCTAGATGAGTGAGTCTTTGTTCACACCATTACAAAAAGTTTCTTAATGTCATCACAATAATAAAAGATAGACACCATATGCAACTGAAAAATTTTTAAACTTTGGTATTTTAATTGGTTGGTGTAAAATTAGCAAAGATAGAAAGAGTTCACATTTTTGAGAAAATGAGTCTTCCTATTCAGGAACACGGAATCATCTTCCCACTTTAAAGTTGCCTTCTAAGGTCCCTCAATAGGTGCCCACTGATACAAAGCGGATGTTGCGTCTTATCCAAAGAAGTTTTAGCCCAGAAGTTGATATATTATAGGAATTATTTCTCTCATTATGTACTTCTCTGTAATGTACACATCATTAAATGTGTACATTAAAAATAAAATGTTGCGTATGCTTACTTTTGTTAAGTAAATCACTTTAAACGGTCAATACAGTGCTCTATAAGGGGGATTAGGAGCGGATCAGAAACCAGATGAAGTTTTGCTTTGGTGAAGCTGCTCACAAAGGTGGCCTGGGAGCGGGTCCTCTCCGGGGTTTCCTCATCCCAGGTGGCCAGGAGCCCGCGGAGGGGAGAGAGCCGAGCACCTTGGGTGGCAGGAGGGCTCGGGCTCCCGCACAGCCCAGGAAAGGGGGCTTCTCCCAGCCCCGGGCTCACGGTTCCTGTTACCTGTGCTTCTTGTCCGTCGTATTCAGCACGTCTCTGTCATAGCAAACCATCTTCCACACTTTCTCGAGTTCACCCTGGTAGACGGCTCTGTGGAACTTCCCCAGATCCTTTGAAAAGACGACATATCCTGAGGGTGTGTAGATGTTGCCGCCTTTCTCACGCCGGCGAGGTTGGGTCTCCCTCGAAGGGGCACAGTGGGTGGACCGCATCTTGCCGCTGGTGCCGAAATCTTCTTTCAGGTAGAGCCTTCCGGGTCCGTAGACACCTCAGCTCCTCGTCACTTTTTCTCCGCCTCGGTAGCGCACTGCTAGCAAGCCAACCCAGTCTGGCCGAAAGCCGCAAGGAGCAAGCTCCGCGCCTTCCACCGGTCAGACCAGTAAAGGCAAAGCCAACCGTTAGACAGTGCGCGTGCGCACCTCAGCCTGCGTCATCGCTGCGCGTGCGCACAAAGACCAACGAGCCGCGGTTTACGAATTGTCTCCGGCCGTTGGCGTTGCCGGCAGGTGGCGGCCGCAGCGCGGGATTGCCGGGCTCTCCGCTGGCTGCCTCTGGGTCCCCGCGTGCTGCCCGCCAGGCCTGAGACACCAGCCCCAGAGCACGCGAGGAGGGTTCCAGGAAGTCCTTCTCCGCCCTCAGCTCAGGCAGCTACCTCTCCCCGCTCGCTCTGTGTGCACAGGGAGGAGCGGGGACGGGCGGACACCGCCGGTCAGCGCCTGCTCCTCACACGCACGTGGAGCGCGAGGTCCGTGGGTGCAGGGCCCTCCCGCGATCCAGGCTGAGCAGCCACTTCCCGCCCCTGTGTGCCACCGCCACCGCCTGGCTTGGCCCAAGTCGAGGCCCCTGGCCCCTTTTGAGATGCCCTCCTGAGGTGGAGCAGCTTTTGATATGCAAACTAACATGTTCACATATTCTTTCAGGGCAGAGCCCTGCAAAACTCCTGAGACCATATCTGTCTCTAATATAGTAATATTAATTTATGGAGCGACATACACACAAGCGTCCTCCCAAACTGTCTGGGCCTCAGCCTGCTCCTCTGTGAAACAGGCCCAGCTCACCCCGGTCTTCGGGAGCTCGGCAAGGCCTTCCGGGGGCTCAGTCCCCAAGCCCCTCCCCCAAGGCCTCATCTTTCCTAGGTCAGTTTCAGAGCCAAAGGCCTGGGTTGGGGGCTTGCTGGGATTTGCACCGTTTAGATGCCCAGGAGGCCCTCAGAATATGTGAGTTACTGAAAGAGCACATGTATGCAGGGATGAAGGGGCTTACAAGGCCATATTGGTATGAACTCCAGCTTGGGGGGGGGAGTGTCCTCAGGGCTGGGCCACATTTGTCACAATGTCCCCTCCTCTGGGAAGCCCCCGGGACTCCACCACTTTCTCTCTGGACACCCTGTGGGGCTAGGTCCTTCCCTCTGAGGATAGACTAGGCAGGCCCAGGAGGGTGGCAGGCCACCACCAAGGCAATGCTCCAACAGAACATCCTGGTGCCTTGGCTGGCTGGCTCTACTCCCCAAACTGGAACCTAAAAGGAGCCTCCCAGTGTGGTTCACCTGACCCAGGTGCAGGGAGTGGGTTCTGCAGGGGTAGAGGGGTCCCATTTAGATAGATGGCCCCTGAGCTGGCTGTTGCCCCCACTCACAGGACACACCATGCTAACCGGGGTGACGGACGGTATCTTCTGCTGCCTGCTAGGCGCGCCCCCCAACGCGGTAGCGCCGCTGGAGAGTGTCAAGTCCAGTGATGGCTACACCTTTGTGGAGGTCAAACCTGGTTGTGTGCTGCAGGTGAAGCACGCTGGACCCGCCCCAGCCCCCACCCCACCTCCGCCATCGCCACAAGATGCTGCCCAGGGGGACAGGTCTGGCTTGGTCCACGGCCAGTCCCGGATCACTGTGTACCGCAACGGGCGGTTAGTGGTGGAGAACCTTGGCCGGGCACCCTGAGCTGACCTCCTGCACGGGCACAATGGCTCTGGAGAGCCGCCGGCCGCCCTGGAGGTGGAGCTGGCTGACCCCGTGGGCAGAGATGGCCTCTGGGGCCCAGGAAGTGCCAGCAGTGGCAATGGCAGAAGTGGGCAGCAGCGGCGAGCCCGACGCCCCAAGAGGACCATCCACATTGACTGTGAGAAGCACATCACTAGCTGCAAGGGCGCCCAGGCCGACGTGGTGCTCTTTTTCATCCATGGTGTCAGCAGCTCCCTGGCCATCTGGAAGGAGCAGTTGGACTTCTTTGTGCGCCTAGGCTACGAGGTGGTGGCACCTGACCTGGCAGGCCAGGCCTGGGGCGCAGGTGGCCGCAGCCTACACCTTCTATGCACTAGCTGAGGACATGCGGGCTATCTTCAAGCGCTACGCCAAGAAGCGGAACGTGCTCATTGGTCATTCCTATGGGTAAGCAAACCCTGGCTGGCACAGGGTGGAGACGAGGGGAGGGGCCAACAGGGACTGGACACCCAGTCACAAAATGCTGATTTTTCTCCTTGAAAAATTCCATTAACATCTGCAACCAAACAGGGATTCCTGTCATTGTTGCTGGTGTTCACATTGTTTTAAAGCAGCGTTTCTCAATGCTGGTACCACTGGCATTTGGGGCCAGCTAATTCTTTTCTGTGAGGGGCTATAGGATGTTTAACAGCATCCTCGGCCTCCGCCCACTAGATGCCACTAGCACAATCATCTAGTGCTGATGGCGACCATCACAAAAATCTTCAGACATTGCCAAATGTCCCCTGGTGGGCAGAATTACCTCTCACTGAGAACCACTGCCTTACACTAAATTCACAAATTGGCTGCCCTGGAGATCCCTGTGCAGTCTGGAAGGTCTAGTTGGAATCCTGTAAATTCTACGCACTTGCAAAGGCATAGGTTGCTGTAATTCATTCTCCTCGAAGGGCTGATAATACCATCTAAAATTTCCTCTGTGGAAGGCTTTGGGCCTTGGTGGCCTGGCCACTGCCACCTGGCCCCATTTGCTCCTTTACCTAGGAAGAAAGGCAAGATTTGATTAGCCAGACAGGTTAAGAACCACTGTTTTAGCGATTGTAGCCCATGCAATTAGACAGGAAAAGGAATTAAATTACATAAGTATGTAAAAGAAAGGAGTCCAGGCTGAGACATAACATAGCTCTTACTTGTTTGTATGATAACATCCCCAGAAGTTGATGTATATGATAAATGATTCCTCTAGTTAAGTGAACATCCAACTACATATGAGGTCAGCATACTATCACTTCACAGATGTGAAGATTGAAGCTTAGAGAGGTTAGGCAACCTGCCCAAGGGCATGTAGTCACTGGCAGTCAGGTCCCTCTTTACAGTAGGAGTTTGCAAACTTTTTCTTAAAGGGTCAGATAGTCAATATTTTAAGTTTGCAAGCCATACAGTCTCTGTTGGAACTTTACAACTCTGCCGTTGTAGTGCAAAAGCAGCCAGGCATGGCTGTGTATTTACAAAACATTTTTCAAACCTCCACAACTGTAAACTGTACTTACAAAAACTAGCAACTAGCCCCCAGGCCATAGTTTGCTGACTCCTACTTTAGAGGGAATGAAGAACTTGACTTGGGGGCTCTTCAGGCTCTGCCCTTCCACCTTGCATTAGGCAAGCGGGTATGTCATACCTAGAGGCAGACAGGAAAAGATCCTACAAGGGAAGGGATACACAGGAAATAGTAACCTCCTCAAGGCAGCCAGAAGGCTTTGTTTGATCAGATTGCTTTCCTAACACTTGGTAATAAGTCCTTCTTACCCCTTTGGGGGTCAAGGTGACTTTAAGAATCTGAGGAAAGTTCTGGATCCAGATCCTCTCTTCAAAATAAATTCCACCCTCAACACTCTAGCTCACGATTCCACAGTTCTGGGCCATTCGAGATGCCCCACCCATCCCTCACCCCATCAGGTGCCCATGGACCCCAGAAGAAGAATCTTGACCTTCAGGAACCTGCCTCTGGGGTGAGGGGAGGGCATTAACCCCCTCACTGCCTGTATTCTGCTGACCACCACCTTTCAATCCTCCCTGCCGCCCCACCCACTCCGGGCAGCGTCTCCTTCTGCACATTCCTGGCACACGAGTACCCAGACCTGGTGCACAAGGTGATCATGATCAATGGTGGGGGCCCCACGGCGCTGGAGCCAAGCTTCTGCTCAGTCTTCAACTTGCCCACCTGCGTCCTGCACTGCTTGTCACCCTGCCTGGCCTGGAGCTTCCTCAAGTGAGTGCCCCCCAAGTTGGGTGGGAGGGGAGGCTGTACGACTGTGGCTGGGACTGACACTGGGGACACCCCTGGTGGGTGGCCAGGCTGGCATGAGGGGCTCCAGCGGTGCCTCCCTACTACCAGGGCCGGCTTTGCCCGCCAAAGGGCCAAGGAGAAGCAGCTGCTTAAGGAGGGCAAGGCGTTCAACGTGTCATCCTTCGTTCTACGGGCCATGATGAGTGGCCAGTACTGGCCCGAGGGTGACAAAGTCTACCACGCTGAGCTCACCGTGCCCGTCCTGCTCGTCTACGGCATGCACGACAAGTTTGTGCCAGTGGAGGAAGACCAGCGCAGGGCAGAGGTAGGGGCGGGTACCCAGGGGCCGCCACACGCCCAGATTCCCCGCGGGCAGCCCAGGGGGCGTGGCCTCTACGATGGGCGTGGTCTCTAGGTGTGGCTCTCACTCCAGGCAAAGGGAGCGTTAGATCTAGAGTCAGTGGTAGGATCCACACAGCAGCGCTGCCCTGGACAGGTGTTAACGATTATGCACCATGCCCACCTCAGGTGGAAGCCTCTCTTCACAGCTGGGGATTTGTGTAAGGAACCAATAACCTCTGGAAGAGGGGACCAGGAGGTCTTTAGATTAGAAACTCCCAAGAAAGGGTCTTGGGATCCTTAGGCCTTAGAATAGCTCTGGTGGTTCTTAACCAGGGACGGTTCTGCCCTTGGGGGACACTTGGCAATGTCTAGAGACATTTTAGGTTGTCGCAACTGAGGTGGTACAGGGTACTACTGGCATGTGCTGGGTGGAGGCCAGGGATGCTACTGAACGTCCTACAATGCACAGGACAGACGCCAGCAAAGAATGAGCGGGCCCCAAATGTCATTAGGGCCAAGGCTGAGAAATCTTGCCTTGGCACAAAAGGCCTTGTCTGTCTCTATGTATCTAGCTCAGAGATTCTCACCCACCCAGGGATGACTCTGCCCCCGGGACATGTGGCAATGTCTGGAGACATTTTAAGTTGTCATATTATGTCTATGTGAGGTTTACTGCTACTGGCATCTAGTGGTTGAGGCAGTGCACATCCCGCAGTGCACAGGGCAGGACGGTCCAGTACCAAACGTCAGCCGCGCTGAGGTTGAGAAGTCCTCCTGTAGGCACGGGTAGGCACTGAATAAATGCTGAATGAATGACACCTAGATGGGCTGCAGCAGGATGACAGACCATCCTCCAGCTGCCCCTTGGGTGGAACTGGGGGCATTAGGGTAGACTACAGGAGGGACTTCCCGGTGCCGTGGGCCATGCATGAATGGTGGGGGGAGTCCCAGCGAAGCCTGGCCCCTCGCCCCGCCGTCCTGCCCTCGCCCATCCTGAGCCCATGTCCCCTGCAGATCCTGCTCCTGGCCTTCCTGAAGCTTATAGATGAAGGCAGCCACATGGTGATGCTGGAATGCCCCGGAGACGGTCAACACCTTGCTCCACGAGTTCCTGCTCTGGGAGCCCGAGCCCGAGCCCGAGCCCTCTCCCAGGGCTCTGCCGGAGCCCCTGCCCGCGCCTGCAGAGGAGAAGAAGTAGCCGCCAGGCGGCCGGGGCATCGCTTGGTGAGCAGAGCCACAGGAAGATGAGGCCGGGAGGGCACCAGGTCTGCAGCGGGGACCACCTGGGCGGGCCGTTCGCTCCGGTGGGCGGGGCCAGGCCGGGGAGACGCCCCCAGGCCGGCTGGGCAGTGTGCGGCACCTCAGGGAGCCGAGTGGACACTCCGCTCTCTGCTTCTGTCCTGCAAGGCCCATCGGTGTTTCGGGGCCGCAGCCAGGATCCCCGCAGATGACCTTGTACGGAAGTCCCTCTTTCCTCCCTCTCCAGCCAAAGGCACGGGCCGAGGCAGGTCCCCCCACCCCGCTCTGTCTTCCGTGTCAGCCATGCTTCGTCCTGGGACCCCCGAGCCCCGCAGGGACCCTTGGGGCCCGTCCCATTGCCCCAGACCCTCCCTATCCCCCATTCCTAGGCACTGGGAGCTATTGTTGCCCACGGGGGGAGGGGCGGGGGGAGGCGGGGAGGGATGGGAGGGTTGGCGCCACCAAACTTGCACATCTCAACTTGTAACTCAATAAAAAGAAGTGACAATCGGAGTCTCCAGACCTGTGCTTGGTCACCGCAGAGCAGGACCTTCACCACCCTGAGCCTCAGTTTTCCTGTCTGCAAACTGGGCTGATCCTAGTGCCTCCCTGCCAGGGCTGACTTTGAGAACGTCCGGGATCCAGGCTTGCTTTGAGTCTCCTGTCCCCCCAACTCAGAATGCAGGGGCTATATGGGCAGTATCTGCAGGGCGGGAGGCAACTTACCAAGGGGTGAGCCCTTCCCTGGCAGGGACGAGAAGGTCCAACTGAGGTTGAGGTGAAGGTCAGTAAACACCTTACATGGGATTGGAACTGTCATAATTCAGTGCCCACTGTGTGGAGTGCCTGATGCCCATTGTTCATTGAATCCCACTCACCCAACCCCACCCGGCAAGTCAGTGCCTCTTACTATCCCAGTTTATTTATTTAGTGGAGACAGGGTCTTGCTGTGTTGCCCAGGCTAGTCTTGGACTCCCAGTCTCAAGCAATCCTCCCACCTCGGCCTCCCAAAGTGTTGGGATTAGGGGCGTGAGCCACTGCGCCTGGCCCATTACTATCCCAATATTACCTTTCAACTTGGTTTAGGGTCATCTTTGTCGTGAAGATCGTTTTTCTTTTGAAACCACCAAATCTGTCTTTCCCTTTTGTGTCTGGCTGAAAGATTTTGCTGTCTCAAAGACGTGCATTTGCTCCTCTAAATTTTATTTTACTTTTTTAAATGAAACTGACGTGAACCTATCCTCTAACTTTTATTCCGAAGCTCGTATATTTAGGTGGTTTGTGTGCACGGTGGGACGAAGGGGTTATTCCCTCAGTTCTGAATCTGCTGTCCTTTCCCCACTGGTTTGCACGCCCAGCGTTAGCTTAGACCAGGGCTTCCTGGGAGGGCAATCGTGTCCGTTGGCAACTCGGGAGACTCTTGATTGCCACCGCGGAGGGTAGGGTGGCGGGTGCCAGTGGCATCCAGCGGGTAGAGTCAGGGATGCTGCTCCAATACTTCGCAAGGCACAGGACACGCCCCCCGCGAAGCATAACCCAGCCCCAGGTGTTACTAAGGCCAAGGTTGGGCATCCCTGTGTTAGACAAATTCCATCCCTTTTGAATCTTTTGGGGTCTCTGGATTCTTTGCCAATGACTGTTCGTACATTCCAGGGGCGTTGGCACGCAGTCGCCAATCTTCTGATGAAGGGAACTGCTACCGCTTTCTCAGAAGACTGGCAGGTGCGAGGCCTCCTTGTTTTACACGAGGAAACGGAAGCTCAGAGAGTTTTCTTCGGCTCAGTCACCAGGTAGAGCCCAGACCCACCCCAGAGGCCGCGCCTCTAATCGCAACAACTGTCCTTCCCCAGAGCAGGCCAGAAATCCAGGCAGGTGGAATCCCCGCCCCGGCCACACCCCGCCCCCTGCGGGACTTGGTTGGCTGAGCTGTGAAGACGGGCAGGACAGGAAGCCAATGAGGCGGTGGATCTCTCTAACTCCTTAAGCCCACTGGGCCCTTTGAAGAAGCAACTTTTAGAAACTTAAATGTCCCCCACTCCCCGCAAAGTGGACCACTATCATCACAGCAGCAACATCTCACCAGGATGGCGGCTTGGCCTTTACTGAAGCTCTTTGAACATATGAATAGCCTGAAGTTGCATAGTATGGCTGGGAAGTCTGGTTATTAAACTTTTTGTTTTTCTCAAGAGACTGGGTCTCGCTATGTTGCCCAGGCTGGTCTCCAACTCCTGGCATTATCTCATCTCAAAACTTGGGAAACGCGAACGCACCCTGCTGTTGGCGGCAGAACTATGATTAGAGGTGGTGACCTGCAGAGCTGGGAGACCATTACCTCAGAGGGCTGGAGCTCTGAGGGCCTCAGTGTCCCCATCTGCAAAATGGGAGATAACCCTAATGAGGCAGGCGTGAGGGTTGCACAGGCGTTTCAGCATGAGGGCCTGGCACACAGTAGGTTACCGGTAAGTGCTCACAAGGAGGAAGAGCGGTCGCTCAATAAAGCTATTTTTGTTTTACACGGAACTGAGAAAATCCAGCTGGTAAGCTTTTTTCACAATCGCTCATTACCCAGGAAGATGGTAGAACTGGGGCCCTCTGGTACGTTTCCCGTCCTCCGGGGGCACCCACTGTGTTTCCTGATGGAACTGTTGGTCTTTACTACAGCACCCGCCCACTGGCCACGTTGTCCTAGCACCTGGATACAGCAGAGCCTGAAGCTGCCACTTTGGCTTTTCATCCACAATAGAAGCGGTTCACCTTGCTCAGTGGCTGTCACTCGGAACCAAGATGATCCCAATTAACACAAAGTGATTGTTTTGGGCCTGGGTTAGCAATATTCGGATTTTTATTTTGATGACAAAAAACAAAAAGAACAACAAAAATTACAACTGACAAACCAGGAGTCGGTGTGGGCTGGGAAACATGGGGGGGTGTCCAGAGTTCCTGGGATGCCTCCTGCAATCTTAGTTTCCTCCCAAGACCCCCCAGGAGATGGTGGGGGCGGGGGGGGTTCCAAGACTCCGCTGCTCACACTCAACCCGCAGGTCCCGGGCTGCAGCTGTGGCACCAGCGCCAGCTACTGGGGCTGGTTGCTGTCCTCCTCAGGGCGGCCTGCTCCTCCTTCCCCTGTAGCTGGAGCGTGGGGGCAGCGACACAGGACACTCGGCAGCCACAGGGGATCGAGACTGAGCGGCTGCTTCCTGGCACTGAGCCCGCTGTCGCGAGGCCCATTTCCGGCTTGGCAGCACTGAGGCGTCTGGTCTCTGGGGTCTGTGCTGCTGGAACAAAGGGTGTAAGAGTTAATTAATATAATCATGAGGCAAAACTATAAACCAGTCCCTGGTGTCAAAAAGGTTGGGGGTGAGCTGTCCCCATCCACTCCTTCTGGGGTGACTGGACCCTCCCTCTAACTTTCCGTCAGAGGCTTGTTTCTTGCCTTTGCTTCTCTCAGGGGCTGTCATCTGGGCCTCTCCTTGGTGACTGTGGTTTCATGTGACAGGTCTGGAATGGGGCTGGAAGCCCACAGGCACGGGCGGCCCAGCAGGGCTCCTGCAGCCCGCTGCGCCCCTGCTGCCTCGGCATCCAGTGATGCCGCCTCAGTGTTTGCGCACCCCTGGCTCTTCCACAGCCCCGCAGCTGCGAGGCGCTGGGAGCCATGCCACGTGCTCACCTTGCACCCCCAACATCCTGGATCTGTCCTCCGGATCTCCCAGCGGTGCTGTGACCTGGCACTGAAAGGACAAGGAGGCCTCGGGGGGGTGGGACATAGCTAGAAGATGGCAGCAACAATACTCCAGACTGAGGGTATAGCACGTGCAAAGGCCCCAGGGTGGGAGACAGGAGGCAGAACAGAGAGGTTGAGTGACTTGCTGCAGGTCACACAGCAAGTGGGTGGCTGAACCCGCACTCAAATCCCCAGGGCTTCCTGGCCATTGCCCTGAACTCCTGGAGGTGGTAAATGCTGGTGGGGGTGGGGCTGAGAACAGATTTAGGCACCTTGGCAGAACTAGGGACTCCTCAGGGGCTGTGTGAGGACGAAGACGACCTCGTCAACATTCACACCTTCCACCAACAGCTCCCTCCAGCCAGGCTGTGGCTCCCTGCAAACTCTGTCCAGATGCCCAGACCAGATTTGGACCCTACAGCAGAGCAGGTTTCTCAGCCTCCGCTCTACTGCCATCTGGGGCGGGCCGTTCTTTGCAGAGGGGGCCATCTGTGGGCAGTTAGCAGCATCTTGGTCTCCACCCACCAGATGCCAATAGCATCCTTCCCTGCCTGGCTAGGACAACCGAAAGTGTCTCCAGAAATTGCCAAACATTCCCTGGTGGTAGAATCAGCCCTGGGTGAGAACCGCAGCCTTAGACTCAGTTCACAAATCAGCTAACCCAAATCCTGCATGTTACATTTGCACAGGGTGGGGCCTGCTGGCATCGGCTCGTCCTGGATAATCACTAGGCAACAAACCGGCCGGCGGCAGGCTCTGTGGTTGACTGATGCCGGCCTACGCCCCTGCCCGGCAAACAGCGAGGCAAATGTCTCGGACAGACGGATGGGTCCTCCCCGTCACCATAACCCTGGTGCGGCAAAACCCCTAGAACATTGGGCAAGGGTGGTGGCCGTGACAGAGATGTCCCAGACCTGTGCTTCGGCTTTTAATCAACTCTTCCTCCAAATTCCAAGGAGACCTTTCTTTTCTTTGGTGCTTAAAATATACCCCATAATTTCACTCTTCTCTTAGATGCAGCATTCCCAAAAATATAACTTTCCCTTTTGTACAAAATAGCCTCGGATCATCTGAAAGCATCAGGGCCCTGCCCTTTTACACAGCAGGCCGGAAAGGCAGCTGCGGAGGTGTGCAGGGTGCAGGGGGGCCCGAGGATACCTGGGCAGTGGTGGAGGGCGGGGCTGCCCTTCTGCCTGGCTGGTCATCGCTGCCTCTGATGCCCCCCGGTGCTCCCAGGG